AAAATCACTCAATTTAAGAAAGTAAATATAAAATTTAAATAGTTTTAATAACTTGTACTTCTAATCTTGAATGCTAATGTATTTTATGTGCAATTTATATTAATATTTGTTAATCGAGCCAACTCACGAGTTAACGAGTTGAGGCGGGGTTAGCACAATCTTAACTCGTTAGCACATTGAGTTCGACTCACGAGCCATTTATCGAGTCAAGCTCAAAATCGACTAACTCACTTTATACCCCTAAGACCAATTAATAGGTGTCGCATGTTAGATGTTTCTCTGGATGGATTTTTAATTAGTCTATCAATGCTCATAAAAAAGAAAAAATTATTTTGTTCGGACATCGTATCGAGCGGTACCGAGCATGGTACCAAGTGCGGTACCGAGTCCCTAATGATGTGGTGCTTTTTTATTGGTCTTTGGACACGTTTGGAGTCCGGACACAATAATCTCTCCATGAGAAGCCCAGTTAAAGCTATTATATGTGGGCCAACGGTCTGGCCCAATACAGCTCTAGCCCAAAAGAACGAAAGAACAAGTAAATTCTAAATCGTGCTTACTTGAAGCCCATCAGTTGAATTATAAGAGCATTGAAAAACAGCTTTCATTTAATTTTAGCATTTGTATCATATATTGATTAATCATTTATTTTGTTTGCGTTTAGTCTAATTAATAAAGTATTATATTATAATTATATAATGTTTATACGATATTTATTTGGATCATTGTTTACTAATTTCTTATCAAATCATTCTAATTTTCATTGCATTTTAGCAATAATTTTAACAGTGTTTTATCAAATAATCATTTATATTAATTGAAAAGATAACACAACACTTTCAATAACAAGTAGAGTCCAGATGGACGAGAAATCTCTACACCCATTTCACCCCACTAGATGAGAAGTCCTTTGGACAAATATCTCCACCAAAAAATATGTATGGGCACTCTCATACAAAAGAGTGCCTTGAGCTGACCTGGGGAGTCCAATGAAAAGATTGACCTTCCCGACTCGCTCAAGGAGACGCTCGATCCTAAAACTTCGGGGAGACAAAGTCAACCAAGGAGATCAGCTTGAATTGATTATTGTCCCCTGAAAAGAACAAGAAATAGAAAAGATAAGATGGAAGTGGTGCACAGCTGCTACGTCGAAACACCTCTATCATTTCCCTTTCTTTTCTGATAACATACTCTCACACTTGCGCAAACCAGACATACTAGCAGAAATTTTCAAAAATAGAAGAAGCAAAAGAGACAAAATGAAGGTCCCATTCTCAAGGCCCTATTGCTCTTATTTATAGTCTGAATCTTGCAAACAAAAAACAAAGCCTCAAGTCAAAATTAATGTGAAAGATCACGCCATCCCCTCTCATCATTATGCGATCTGAAGAGCCATAGCGCATTCACTCCCAAAAGTTGGAGTGGAACCTCTCGAAATTTTTGGCACACCTTTCACCTCGTCCTATTTGATGAAAAAAAAAAATCTTTTTCTATTTCCATAAAACTTCCAAAAGTCAAATATTTTATTCAAAAGGGTAATCGCCCTCAGCAAAAAAAAAAGTCAATATGTTGATTACATCGGAAATGCTCCAACATAGAATCTTTTGTCATACTTGGCACTAATCCTCCCATCATGTCAAGGTATTCAACAACATACTGAGCATCCTAGAGGAAATCCTCCAAGTTAGTTTGACTAAGCATAGTAAGCCACTCGGCTTCCATCAAGTTTATGCGACTCCACATGGCCCCCAACTTATCATTCAACAGGGTCGCCACACCTTTATGATCTCCATCGCCAATAGTAGAAAATCCCTTTCCACCAACACCAGACTCATCCACATCCCTAGATTTGGCTATTGACTTTAGGGCTATTGACATCCCAACAATTTCTTCCAACAAAATTCGCTCGGGAGGAAAGGTGGGGTTAATGTACAAGGTAATCAAGAAAGAAATCAATGGTTGCTCAAGAATCTTGCCCACAATCCACTCCTCGGCGACCTCTTCGATAGCCTTTTTAACAACAATGGCGACCACCTTAGTAACTGCAGCTCGCTCTGGTGCACTCACCTCCTTCAGAGCAACTTCACTCATACCCTCCAACACACTCTTAGGAGGAAAAGGACATTTTCCTCCACCGCCAGAACAATCACATTTGTGGGTCATACCTCCCATAGCTAGAACAACATGAACAATCATCTCCTTTGTCCCCACAGCATAATCAAACAATCGATCATCCTCAATAAAAATCGGATCCTCAATATTAGCTCGCATCCACTTCAGCAGAGAGCTAGCAATAAGATCGACCAAGTTCATAGACACTCGCGCCTCTCCCTCAACAATAACCGTACTCTGCATGGCTTCTCCACATTTGGAGCCTCCATGCCAAAACCTACTCGTGCTCCCTTATAAGCAGTCTTCCTAAAGGCTCAAACACCAAGAAGAGTGGATAGATCCATCTCACCGAAATCAAGTAAGGCTCACAAATTGAAAGCAAAAGAAAATACCAACCAGACCTAAAACCAATATATATAGAGAAACCAGATGACGAGATTGTTTGGTCTCCAAGCATACATAAACCTAAAAATCCACAAAAATTCATGGCAATAAATTTACATTTACTCATGCTCTCTTTTCTAATTTTTCTCCTTTATTCTACATTTTCAACATTTAATATTTATAGGGTCAAATAAAACGGGGAACTAAATGTACACCCATGACTATCTATGCAGGTACCCATTCGCAGGAGTCTTACATGATACCTTTAGGTTGAGCAGAATAACCCTCTCCTTTCTTGAAACTGTTCGTTCAAGGTACTTGCTCAAAAGCTAGAAATGAGCTTAACACTAGAGCACGAAACACCAACTTTAACCACATCTTCCAGGTAGTCGCCCTCCCTGGCAAGGGTGATTTCATAAGTTCCTCTCTCAGTCAAATAAATATTTGTTCATCCCGACCAGAGTCAAATCTCTATTGCGAGACACATCTACAATTAAGCTAACGATACATGTCTCCCCCATAAGACATCTCTTGCAATCTTATAGACCTCAAGACCACATTAAGACCTATGATGCACATATACGGACAAGGCGACATGGATACGACACAACACGGACACGGGACACGTTAGTTATTGAAAATATAGGACACGGACACGAGTTGGACACGGTATTATAGTTTTTATATTTAAAAAATGGTGTATAAAAATTAAATAAGTATAATTTTAAAAATAATTTGAAAATAATAAGTCATTTAACTATAATTTGTGCTTAAAATGATTAGCATTAGGATGTCAAGAGTCAAGCGTCATGCAGTTTATCAGTCACGGAGAGAGGAGATGAAAATACCTTCACTGCCAAAAAGAAATGAAAATGAGAATATTCGATGATTGAGTTTTAAGTGCGGACATTGATTTGATGTTGTGGATAGAAAATAAGAAATTTAGTTTAAATCTCGCAAAATACAATAAATTATATTTAAAAAAATTCATAAAACATTTAAGATATGCGTGTCGGACACGCGTGTCCAATTTGTATTTAATATATTTTAATCAGACACGTTTTCGGCGTGTCCGACACGTGTCAGAGTGTTGGACGAGTGTTGTGTCGGATACGGTGTCGGACACTGCATGCCTCTTTGAGGAGAAGTGTCGGTGCATCATAGATTAAGACACTACTCTTCCCTCTCACCTCAACGGGACAACCTCAAACAGATTTCCTGCTATATGTCAGCCTAATCTCCTGACTACATTTAGATGCTAGTCGCCGCTCTCACCTCAACAGGGTGACCTTAGACCATTTTCATGCCAAGGCTGACTAGATCCATGAGTTCATCCTGCTCGCATTCTCTCTCATGGTGGTTGTCACTTCACTCGACACAGACAACCAAGCTACAGCAAAGACAGATGGGATAGTTATTGTATCTCGTATGCATCCACTGTAACTTCCCATGATTCCTTTTTCTTAAGAAAAAAGATATATGGTACCTTTTTTTTACTTTTCTTAATTTAAGCTCTATATCACAGAGCTCTCGCTTCCATTACTCTTATACATATGTCTAGGATAATAAAGATTTTGTTTATATCCATATTCTCTCTCTTTCGTCCTCCTCTCTCCCTCGTATTCTGAGTTCATCATCTTCACCTTAGGGGTGTTACATGGGCAGATAAGGGCGATAACTGGTGTGGCCCTAGGTGTCTTGAACTCGAGTGGGAGGGAGATCGAGGGAGGTGACCTAGGTGACCAGGGCAAGAGCAAGAATGTGAGGTTTGCACAAAGGGCCACGGGGTCGGTGCTTGCAACTGAGAGATCAAGATAAGAGAGGGCTTCAGCCGAGGGCTAAAAGACCAAGTTGTGGGTATGGGACGGTTGGGAATTTTCTAATTATGAAGTGAAATGAGTAAATAGAGATATCAGGAAAGGTTTTAATTATTTATTATTATTATTTAAATAAAATAAAAAATGACAATTATGTCCTTTTACCGGTGTAATCTTGTACCTGAAAGATTTAATAAGGATTTTGAAGTTTGTTAATGCATTTCCCCGATGCAGGGGATACGCTTCAGATGTTTCCCTCCGTTCAAATTTGATGAAAACGTGGCATCTAGCTAAAGGCATCGCCCTTCTTCCCATCATATGAGAATGTCCAGCTTAAATTATTATCAGTAACTTTGTTTCAGGTTCTCACTTCCAGCTTGCTTATAGCTGTTTGTTTGATCACAATCAATACAGAATAATAAATGAGTTTATGATCGAAAATTACTTGAGCATTATTGGTGAAATTATTCTGTGCGGATACGAACGTCGTCCGGAGGCGAATTAGAGCGCGTCACATCACCCCTTTGTTATGTACCGCGCGAATGTGTACCCGCTGTGTACCAGGAGACGTGACGCGCTCTGATTTGCCTCCTGACAGTCCAGTGTCCGCACAGAATAATTTCTCCATCTCTTCACCCACCATGTTTTGATGGATTGTTTCCTTCAAAGAGAAAGTTATCCTTCTAGACACAAGGAAAAAAAACTACATTTCAGTAACATCTATACTTGTCTAGATAAAAGAACCAGTAGCCCTTGTGGACCTACTAAGATCTCACTCAAGAAACTAACCAGACCAAACCAGACAACAGGTGTGACATCAACACCACCAAGGGGTGGTATCACCTTCCTTGTGATGACTAGTAATGGTTCTGTAGGTGCGTAAGCAATAACGTAAGGGAGCTTCCCTACTGGGAGCTTTGGATACCAGGACATGACTATTCTAAGGATGAACAACAAGGCAAATGTTGATAGAAATGGACCTGTAATTGCAATCAGAAACTTCGCTGTTTGTGGATCCACGTCCGCCATTATTAAGCTCTGCTTGTGGCTTGAAACAAGTCTCTCCATGTTCTCTGATAGAATTTTAATGGCTTTCAAGTTAGCAACTACAATGTGTGAAGATGGAGTAATCTGAACTGGATCAAGGCAACATGCAGTTGGTGGTAGAATTTTCCTTCCATCTTTTCTGCATTTCTGCATGATAGACATTATATTTCAGAAACTCAACATATCAAAAAGTTCAGGAAGAAGACCTTATATTAGAGGTTTAGTAGCAACTATGGCTTCGTTTGGGACGGCTTTCTTATTGCTTTTCAAAGCAATTTTTTAGTACAAAAATTTTTCTTTTTGTACTAAAAAACTGTTTTAAGAAGCAACAAAAAGCTGTCCCAAATAAAACCTAAATCTAATATCTTAGTTGAATCCTATGGCATGTTAAATTGCCATACAAAATAATATATGTGCTAAAGTCTACGGCATCAGCATGGCCAGCACATATGCATCCATCTGGCCACGCGATTCAGGATTCGTTTCAGACAGCTTTCTTATTGCTTTCTAAGACAGCTTTCTAGTACAAAAGTTTCTTGAACTAGAAACTTTTGTACTACAAAAACTCTTTCAGAAAGCAGCATAAAATTTATCTCAAACAAAGCCTCAAACTGGTTGGAAAATTTGTAGAAGACTTGCTATACTTCTTTTTCTTGTGAAGGATAGTTTTTAAATATTGTAAATAACAATTATTTGTCCTCTTTATGTGATTGTGGCAATCTAAACAATCTTGAAAGATATTTAGTAATCTAGGCTTTATTGGCTGGGTTTTTAGTAACTTGAAAATTATTGCTTAGGCTTCTAAGAAATTAATAGTGATGTCTAGGTTTATGCCAATGCTAACAGATCCATTTGTTTTATAGCATAGATGTCTTCTAAAAGAGAAAATTAAATGTAAAATACAAGAAGTGAAGTGATTAATAAATTTCCCAAGTAAAAATATTCACACATCGGCTTTAAAAATCTCAAAAATATGATTCCTTCAAAGAGAAAACTTATATATTAAGCCAAACATATTAACTATTTCAGATAAAATATCAAGCAAAATCTTAAAATTGGACAGGATTTCCTTATGAAATGACAAAAAATTCAAGTTTTCTAGCAAAGTATATAACTTCCCAGGATTAACCTCAGGATACAATGTCACAAAACTTTCATGATCGGAACTAAAACATGTATATGTGAAGATGAAGATTACAGGTATTGCACATTAGATTATAAAAGCTCAATGCTTTCTATCAAAGTTATGTATTCTCAAATTCTCCAAAAAAAAAAAATCATCATTTATATCTTTTTTGTACTAGAAAATAAAATTCATGTTAGCTTCTATTAACTTGACTGATTAATTTAACAATGAACATTCAAAATTGATCTACTTGGTTAAGTGATATTACCTTTGAGCTCAAAAGCGGAGGTCAGAGTTTCAAATTACTGCTAGCAAACTAAATTTTAGAACACTTCAGAGCACTTCTCTTAAAACTTTATCAAATACTTTCACTAAAGCTTCATTTGAGACGGCTTTCTTACTGCTTCATAAAGCAGCTTTTTAGTACAAAATATTTTAATTTTTGAACTAAAAAGCTGCTTTAATAAGCAGTAAAAAAGCCGCCCTAAACGAAGCCTAAATCAATAAATATCATATATAAATCTCCTTACACTCTATACTTCTCCATCAAACTTCTCAACAAATGTAAAGCTTCCATAGTAGACCTACCCAACATGAATCCAAACTAATTTTAATAAATATTAATATCGCATTATAACCTATGCTTAATTACTCTCTCCATATTTTTAATGTATGACACAGCTAGCTTAGTTCCTCTAAAACGTACACCTTTATTCATAAATATTATATTCTGTAATGATAAAAAAGTATTTCATTTTGTTGTCAAATGATATATTTCTAATCAAATGGATGAATTTTAAGTTTTGTTTAATAAATTGTTGTGAATAACTTTTAACTTTTTTTTGCAGGAAAAATGTATATTATTCATATAAATATTAATAATGTTATTAGTAATTAAAGAGGCAAGCAGTCACTAGTTTTCTGTGTTTTTTTTCTTATTGGAAACTTTGATTGCTACATGACGTGAAGTGTTTGAAGTTTGAATAATGAAAAATATATAGAATGAGTTACAAGTTGCTAGCTTAATTAGTTATTTCTTTACATTTATATAAGCACATGAATTACTGCAATTACAGTATGCTATCAACAAGACAGGCCAATGATATTTGACAGCCGCGGTCAACAAAGTAACAAAGAAGCAACAAATCATCTCTACCAATGAAATTTATTTTTTATCCAAAAAGATAAAGAATTTAATATAGATATCAATGAATTAAAAAGCCTTCAAATGGAGTCAAATCTTTTATAAGCATCTATTATCATCACATAATTAGACATCAACACATCACAACAAACAAAGAATGTACAACGACAACAACAATATCAAGCATTTATCTCACTACATGGGATTGGCTACATGAATCCTTTTTCTCCATTGTGTCCTATTAAGAATCAAATTCTCATTTAAATCTAATAAAGAAAGGTCATTTCTAATAATTTTTTAATCAAGTATTTATAGGTCTACCTCTACATTTCTTAACATAAGCCAAATTTAATACATCTACTTTCGTAATGGAGTCATCAGAAGCCATTGTTTTATGTGACCAAACCATCTATGGCGACTCTCTCTAATCTTATCTTCCACTGGAGCTACTCCAACTTTTTCACTTATATGCTCATTTCATATCATGTCTCTAAGAGTAAAGCCACTCATCCACCTGAGCATCCTCATCACTGCAACACTTAACGTAATATTATGCTTCTCTTTTAATGGCCAATATTTTACACCATAAAGCACTGTAGGTCTCTGATGGGGACATCGACAAGAGATTTCGATGCGTTTACCAAAGACGACACAAGAGATCGATGGCCATGATGGAGAGTCTATACTTTTGATGCTTATTTGTATTAGCATTTTATGTATTACGCATTTTTATTTCAATTTTTTCGTTTTTGCCCTTTTGGGTAGTTGGTCGCTATTGTAGCCCAAGGGGCATTTTAGTCTTTTGTATTAGTTGTCATTTGGAAGCCTATATATGTGGCTCTCTTATCTTGAATGAGGGATTATTATTGATGAATGAAAATTTGATCCTCTTGTTCTCTTTGTGAGTCCAAACTTCCCTAGATCTCTTTATGAGTTCTTGAGGAGAGAGTCTTAGATCTCTTTGTGAGTTCTAGTGGTTGAAGGAGTACGGTTAGTGATTCTTAATTTTCTTACCTTCCTCTTCCAATCACTTCATCTTCCCCCTCAAGAGAAGACCCCATTAAACCCTTGGCCTGCAGAACCCGGCCCCATCTCCCCTTTGCCGCCGCCCCCTTGGAGCTCTAGTCACCGGCGGCTCTCCCATCTCCGGCCGGTCCCTTGAAAATTTGATCCTCTTGTTCTCTTTGTGAGTCCAAACTTCCCTAGATCTCTTTGTGAGTTCATGAGGAGAGAGTCTTAGATCTCTTTCTGAGTTCTAGTGGTTGAAGGAGTACGGTTAGTGATTCTTAATTTTCTTACCTTCCTCTTCCAATCACTTCATCTTCCCCCTCAAGAGAAGAACCCATTAAACCCTTGGCCTGCAGAACCAGACCCCATCTCCCCTTTGCCGCCGCCCCCTTGGAGCTCCAGCCGCCGGCGGCTCTCCCACCTCCGGTGGTCACCTTGCCACCGGCCCCCCCCCCCCATACACCCACCACCCCTCTCTCCACTAAATTTCAAATTTTAAATTTGAATTTCAAATTTCAAATTCTTTCCAAATTAGAATTTCAAATTTCAAATTCTTTCCAAATTAGGAAACCCAAATTAGGAAAGTTTTTTATGTGAGATTCAAATTTTAAATTAAATCAAATTGGATCTCATAAGTTTTCTTTCCTAGTCATCACCACTTATATAGTTGTCATTTGGAAGCCTATATATGTGGCTCTCTTATCTTGTATGAGGGATTATTATTGATGAATGAAAATTTGATCCTCTTGTTCTCTTTGTGAGTCCAAACTTCCGCCACCCCTCTCCTCTCTTAGGTTTCTTCGTGATCTCTCGCCTACGTGTAAAATATGTATAGCGGATCCCGAAGTTGATCGCGGGCTAGTATTCGACGTCTACGGAGACATCCACATCCTTCGATCTCCATTCTTCGACGTTGGGTTTGGCTTTGACGACACCATTGAAGATTACTTGAATTGAATCCTCCCCATCCTTGTGGACGTCATCGACGATCAATTTTTAGACTATGAGTGGATCATCAACGGTCATCCTCCCGTGCCACCTCCGACTACCTTCCAAACAACGACATTCCTCGGCTCTTCCGTCCTAATGGCTACCTCATTTCTAGCGTGGACGATCTTCCTCCGCTCAACCTAGATTCGTAGGAAGAGAGAGGAGCTTCAAGGTGAACAACTCATTAACTTTTGGATTTGTGTGTTAAGCTCTTACATTACTTCGCCTTTGTATTGGATTAAATTGTCTTGATTAATCTTCATACAACTCTTTGCCTAAGCAAGTGGAATGCTGAGAATTCTTGCAACTAACTTGGAACTGATGCATAATTTTATAAAAGGTTAAACTTTAGTAAATTCTCTTTATAATCCAGTGTAACTCCTACCTTGTATCACATCAGTCTCACCACCAACTTATAGAATTTTTCCTTAAGTTTGAGGGAGACTTTTTCTATCACACAACAAACAAAGAATGTACAATCTAACAAAATGTAGCAAAGATAATTGAACAAAATAAGAATGTTCTTCTCTTTACAAAAACTAACAAAAATGTCTTGGATGGGGACAAATTCATCATCTTAAAAAATTCACCACAACAAAAGATAATCTCAACCCACCCCCGCTTCTATATGAAAGTTTTTGTTGAAGACTAAAAAATATAAATAATTGAAAATTATTTTTATTAAATAACTTGATTAAAAAAATTTCAAAACTACCCCTAATTTTAACATCCTTAAGTCTAACATCCCTTAGTTAAAATGGTGGGACTATTTTGATTCATCTTTAAAGATTCAAGCAATCAAAATGGGCCTTTAATAAAACTGGAGACTATTTTTGCTCTTCATAAAGAGTCAAGGGATCATTTTGGTCTTTTTTTTTTTTGCTTCAAAAAGATTCCTCAAAACATTACTTATACTCATTTCACCCTCTCACTACCTTTAACTGAATCAGCCAGCATATAACACTTGGTATATCCTAACAATCCAGTAGTTAAATTCCTATTCACCACTTTATACTCGACCAATTACAAAGAGACGCTTGGGAAAACAAATTAGAAAGTAATATTTGCACTTATTCTTGCAGTCGTTATAACAGCACCCAAGCTAGCCTTTTGCTACATGGAAATCTTTGAGTCAAGTGGACGCCTTCGAGTCTATCGGTTTATCCTATGACAATTCTCGCTGGCTTAATTTGGGTTCGGGTCCGAGGTTGGGTCGATTTGGGGCATACCCCTGGCCAATCAATTTTCTCTCGGCTTATATATAATCATCAGCATAAATAAAAAAAATGTCATAACATCCTTACCCACCTTCTAAATCATGCATATCATGGATCTTATATGTTCCCAATCTTGTATGAAGGCACAGTCTAAAGCTAATAGTTTAGAATAAAATTTCCAAGAGCAATAGAGAAATGAATTCTTAAATATGCCGATGGTTACTTTGAACAAGCATTTTCGATTGATTAAAACAGAATTTTAGTACATTTCTTGAGCACATAAGAACTACTGACGTAGTAAATTTATTTTTATGAGAAAATAAGGCTACAAAAGCAGTTTAGAAGCACAAGTTATGCATGCGGTTTACTTGTATCCTGTGTTGTTCCCACCAAACTATTAGATGACAACCATCCAATGTGGAAATATGAAATCCTCAAACTATTTCGAGACAATGTGTTTGCCAGTTTCTTAGAAGATACCGACAAAACACCACACGGCTTCTTCTTCAACCAAACGTCCACTCTCAACCCAATCCAACCTACAACCAATGGGTCTTAAATTGCCAAAATATCGCAGTAGCTATATGCTCAACCCTCACCGCCACTATTCCCCCTTATGTCCTCCAACTTGACTCATGTTGTCATATTTGGTGCACCATCAAATGCTACTTATAATATCTCGACTCAATACCTCATTGATATCAAAACTCTAACTGATAACATTGCAACAGCCGTCTCAATCATCAACCCCGAAGCCATCATTCTATACACTCTCAATGGTATCCCTCAGCAATACCTAGCTTTCAAAACCTCAATACGAACCAAACTAACACCAATCAGCCTGGAAGATTTCCCTTACCAAACTCCAACCCTCAACCCCTACAATCTCCTCTGCAATCAAACCCATATCTCTTCATCCCTACATCACATCACACCTTATCCACCACCAACCTTACCTCATCTCTGATCCCATCATCCAACTTCCTTACTCCACCTTCTAGCACAATCAATTCCATCTCTCAATCAACATTACAAACTGACAATCACCTTCAAACATCATTCCTTAGAACCTAGCCCACCATAAGCTCACATGATCCAAAACAGGCTACCTCAAGCCCTGCCAACTTTTAAATTTGCTATACAAAACAACCAAACAGACTGATCCCACTTTCCTCACTAAATCCACCAAAAACCTTCAGTGACATCACGAAATTCAATCTATCTGAATCCTTCTCACAGCTGCTCTCAATTGGTAATGGCCAATACACCAACTTGATGTCCTCAACGCATTCCTTCATGACAATCTCAATGAAACAGTCTACATGACCCAACCACGTGGAATTCAAGACTCCCAACATCCACATCATGTATGCTCCTCAAAAATTCCCTATATGGACTCAAATAATCACCCTTTCGATGGTTCCACATGTTTTCTAGCCATCTTCCCTCAATCAATTTCAAACAAAGAAAGTTCATCCCTCTCTTCTTATCCATGACGAGAATTAGGTGCTCCTCTTTCTCTTAATCTACGATTCTACATTGTCAATATTCTTCTCACTTGCAACAACTCAACCACCATATCTCAGCTCATCCACAACCTCAGCATAAAATTATCAATGAAATGCCTTGGACATGCTACCAACTTCCTTGATAATCACATTTCCAAACAATCCTCTTCATGCATCTTTTAATAGGAATCCTACGCTAAATCTATTCTCCATAAGCTTGGAATGACCAGCTGCAACCCTCTATCCACTCCAGTTCCTTCAAAATAGCTACCTACTCTTCTAGCAAACACTCCCCTTTCCAACTCAATTCTCTACCACAAGCTCACCGATCACCACTACTTCACCATCAATCCAAACAACATCTCATTTGTTGTCAATCACTTGTTTCAACATATGCATAACCTACTCCCAACTCATCCCACCCCTCAAATGACTTCTCTATTACATTAAAGATACACTTCATTTTGGCTTGCTAATAACAATAGGACCTTTAATACTTAAATCACTCTCCAATTTTGATTGGGCAAGTGACTACACTAATTTCCTCCCAAACACATGAAATTGCTCGTATCTTGGTTCTACTCTCATATCCTAGAGTATTAAAAAGCAACTCAACATCGCCAGATCATCCAAGGAGGCAGAATACCGTGCTCTCGCTACTGCTACTGCCGACATTATTTTGTTCCTCCATCTACTTCAAGACTTTAACATTTATCTACACAAACCAACCAATATTCATTTTGACAACGTCTTAGCAATAGAACTAGTAAATAACCCTCCTCATCCTACTAAAGCCATTAGAAGCAAACAAAACCAAACAAATCCTCTTTCTACACTAGTAAAACAAATCAACTTTTCTATGACCAAACATTACTGTTGTCTCCCCTCTACACTATAAAAATACAAACTCCACAATGCAAAAGCAATGTTAAGGAGAAGTTAACACCAAAAGGAAACAGCAGCTGAAGCTTCTTCCTGCTCCTCAGCTCTTCTCTGATTTCCAGTTTTCACTGCATTTTCATATACAGTTAAAGTCTGATAACTAAAGAACTTCTAGACAAGCAAACAGATTACAACACTCCCCACACCTTGCATTGGCGAAAAAAATCATGCACCGCGTACGCCTTGCCTATGACTTATCTACTAGCTATTCACTAAATTATGCCATTTTAGGGTAAGTCAAGAAAGTCAGAAAGCATAGTTATGTATCCTTCATTTTTGTTCTTCTCAGATAACAGATGCTTCCAATTAGGGCAACTACTGCTGCAAAAATGAAGAATGATACTGATGCCTATTTTCTCAATTTAATGCATACAAGAATCAAATTTGCTAAAGATCAAAACATTAAAATAGGAGAAAAGTTCAATTAATGGACACTCACAAGGAACCTCAGATGACTCCTCCGCCCTGTTAAAATTCCTGCGAGCACACAAGATTGAGTCAATATGTATCGGAGAACAAAGTTGACATGCTGAGCGGTAAGAAAACAACAGACTGGGCATAAGGCTAGAAGTGAAAGTTCAACGAAAGAGAAAGGAAAGTTGGAACCTTGAGCAGATTGGGACAACGAAATGGAAGCGTGGAAGGGCAGAGCCAACGCCATGATCAAGTGTTCGAATGAACAATTGGATGGTCTGAAAAATCGTTGGTTTTCGTTTATCCTTTTTCCTATCCACTTCGCGACTGTAATCAGCTTTCAAAGCTTGATTTTAAACACCTAAAGTAATCCGAAATAGGTTCCCAATTATTATAATAGTATATTCTGCTGGTAGTTTTTAGGCAATATCAATAGAAAATATGGACTGCTTTTAGGATCATAAAGATGATTTTTTTTTTCTGCAAATCATTTATATTAATGTTTTGGATTTAAGTTTGTTAGTAAATAATGTCCAATCTTACTAATAGATGAGATATTTGAGCATGACCTAAGAATCTGTGTGAGAATAGAGAAAGAGGAAAAGAGAAAATTATGTGAGTAGCTAATAGTTCAAAAATATATTGAAAATGTCAAAAGATGTCAAAGATTTAAAATATTCTTCTTTGCCTCTTATTTATAGAGATCAGAGAGCTACATGATAAACTACTTCAATAAAGAAAAATAAAAAATGTATAGAATTAGTGATTGTTAGTTCAAATTGTCTTAAACATGTGCCGCACTATGATTAGCTTAACGGATGATTGCTTCTCTTGATATTGCTTTTCTATCATTGATGTGTTCCAATATGCTAAGTATCTGAGGCAAAAAATAGTAGGTGAGTTAACTTGGCAAGTGTTAAGCTTAGACGATTTTAGCTAACTAATGTCCCAATATCGTTGACGACCTACAGAGGAGCTTTAGATTGCTTAGGAGCAAAAGGTTGGGGAATTAAGGTTGCAGGTATGACGAGCTTCATAGTCGACCAACTATGATGAGAAAGTAGAATCTTATGGAATGGATGATTTCCTGTAGCTGAGGTGACTATTATGGTTGGCAACCCTACACCATAAATAGTGACGAGTGGCTTCAATGGCTATCCTTTGATGGAGAGCAAGTGATTAATTGACTAGTCTATGACAACCCTTGATTGTTCTCATGAGGAGTGACTCCCCCTCTGGGTGTTTTGCCAAGTTTGATCTTGGGAACCTTTGGGCGAGTTGTCTTGTGAGTCAATGAGGTATGAGTTCACCTACCATGAAATGTTGACTATTTGGATAATATCTTAAAAGGAACATGCAAGTATACATTTAGTTTCATGATTCACTTGACCCTTTTAAGGGAAAGTTATGAAAAGGAAAAGTAAATTTTATGTCAAGCATTTAATAGGGCTACCATACAATTAAGGGAAAATTAAAAGCATAGTTACTGTTTTGTTTTATTGTAGCTAAGATTGTTGCATAGATCATGTATGATGATTGTGATGTGATGCCACTCATAATGAGCACCTACTAGATGTAATCATGTGATAAAACTCTTCACGCCTTTGATCATTTTAGTAGAATCATAGAGATATATGGGTATGATGAAAATGGATCTTGCTAAGTTAGTTTGTCTAAAATAAAACTAATAAAGAAGGTGGCATTCCACCTTGCAAAGGGTGTCAATGTTAACAAAGTGAGTTCCCCCTTGATGAATAAAAAGAGAAGGAGGTGAATGCTTGAGCCCAAACCATATAAGGTCCACTAAGATTATTGCACATCTCCATGCAAAGAGATTGAAAGTTGAAATTATGGTGACAAAGATGACTGTGGCTCTATTGACTATGGTAGCAAGCCCCCCAAAAGCCCATGTTTTGGTTAAGGATACAATAATCATTAGTAGAGTGACATTCTCCTTGTGACGCCCCAGGCATCCATAGTGAAAGGATTTGTCTGACATTCTGATTGAACTCCATTCCAGCTGCCTTGCTCGGACCTGAAAATATTAACCACATATAATGAGCTTAAATAGCCCAGCAGGTCACCAAAGCCTACAACTAAAATCAAAGCACGACACTGGAAACAATATGCAAGTCAATCAAATCAAGTCAAATCAATCAATCGTACATGATCAATGAGTCAATGCATATACGAAAATCAATACGGAACAGAAATCAATAAAAATCAGTAAACAGTAGGAAGTCCACAAAGCTCAAGAATCAATGTATCAGTGGGTCTATAGTGTCGGTATTCGTATCAGTAGTATCAATCATGTCCGTGAAGTAATAAATCCATAATATCGATAAATCAATAATCTCGGTATCTGTATCCAGGAATCAATACAATATCCATATCCATAACGGTGTCGGTATCCATGAATCAATAACATACAATATCAATGAAATCGTGCAGTAACAGAAACCCATAAAT